TATATATATAATTATATATTAAGCTGCTACTACCAACTCTACCTCTTACTGGAGGTTAGTGAAACACACTTTGACTTAATTTTTCCTTTGGTAAATTGAAAATAGTATTTAATGACTATGGCCTAGTGTGTAGGAAGTTGTACTTATAACCCAAAAGGCATGCCTCTCTAACAGTTCAAACCCAGCGGTGGCTCTGAGGGAGAAAGATGGCCAGTCTCCTCCTGAGTGATTTACAGCCTCAGAAACGTGCAGGCGAATTAGCTATGAGTTGGTTCTGACTCAATGGCAATGAGTGAGTGAGTGAGAGTGACAGTGCAGGGTCTCCTGACGGAGAAGATGGAGGCACTTATGTTCAGTGTCTCAGGACTTGGAAGTCCAGTTGATCTGCAGTGGAGCTTTCCATCACTGTGGGTCACAGGACTTCCAACTCGAGTCACCTTCCTGAGAGCCTTCTGCTGGCCCCCACGTTGTGACTGTCATTCTCTGCAACATTTACAGTTGAATCTTCTACCGTATCATTTTCACATTCAATTGTGAAATGCAGTTTTAGAGAAGAGTACTCCTCCTTGCCAGACGTGACCTTCCTGAGCACATGTCTGCATTCTCAGGCCTTGTCAGCATTAGTGTGTTAATTACTCGAATGTTCTAGGCAGAGCACCAGCAGAATCTTCCCTTGTGTGTACACTGACAGGGGTGACTCTACAATCTTTCCTGTTACTGAACTACAGGCAGCTTTTAATGTTCCACAAACTTGGTGTTACACAAGCCACCAAGTGCCCTTCCTCCCCGTTCAAGCTCATTGACCTTGACTGAGAATTGTCATGTAACCTGGACTCTTTGAGATACAGACATGAGCAACTATAACTTGTGTTTTCCTCTCCAGGGGTCCCACCAGGTGTGGTCAACATTGTCTTTGGAACTGGGCCCAGCGTTGGTGAGGCCCTGGTGTCCCATCCAGAGGTACCCTTGATCTCTTTCACGGGGAGTCAGCCCACAGCCGAGAGGATCACACAGCTGAGTGCCCCTCACTGCAAGAAGCTGTCCCTGGAGCTGGGAGGCAAGAACCCTGCCATCATCTTCGAGGATGCCAACCTCGAAGAATGCATTCCGGTTACTGTCAGGTCCAGCTTTGCAAACCAGGTGGGTCTTGTGGACTTGGTTCACCTCTGTGGTCTTGTAAGCTGGCTCTGTTTCACCACAGTGGAAACTCCAGGGAGGGAGCAGGCCATCCCAATGCCATTTCAGTGAAAGGAGAATCATGGCCTTGTTTGTGCTATTCTTTGACTGTTCAATGTCAGTGTCAATTCATTGCCTTGGAGAATCACCACTTCTGTTTAGCAGTTATCTTCTTCTGGAATTACACAACTCTTATCAGTTACCAGTGATGGACAACATAGTTGCTATCTGCTGGTTTCTCATTATTTTATTGCCAGTCAAGTGTGAACTTTGCTTTCTCTCCCTAAACATTCACTAAGGACCCACTACTGAGGATATAATTACCTGAAAAAGCCTAGAACAGTTTTCTTACATTGACCTCTAAGATGGATTTCAAGGCAGCTTTATTTTTACTGGAATCGTGTAGCAGGTATTTTGTGGTTTGTTTGGGTTTTTATTCTTTTGTTGTTGTGTGTTTTTTTTTGTTTGTTTGTTTTGTTTTTTGATTCATAGCTTTCATCAAATCTTCAAGGTTCAAGGTGATCCGAAAGAGTTATTAACTTCACTAAACTGTAAGCTTCATGAAGATGGGGAAATATGCCTGCATTCACTCAACACTTTTTAACATTAATGACTAGACATTGTCCTAGGAGTGTCTAGTACATAATTGTGATTGTTATGTGCTGTCTGTCGAACCTGTGACTCATAGCGACCCTATATACAGCAGCTCTGAAGCCTGCCCTGTCCTGAGACACCCTCACTGACTCTGACACACCCACCCCAATTGCTCCTGTTACTTTTTCAGTCCGTCATCTGGGGTGTTTCTTCCTCTTCTGTGCAGTCCCCCCACTATAATATTGAATATTTTCAGAATATTTTGTCTTAACAGAGAACAAAGAAGTAGAACTTGTATAGAAGGAAACGGGGAGCTCTGGGGGCCTTGTGGTAAGAAGTCGTGCTGCCAATCTAAGGCACACAGTTCGAATCCACAAGCTGCTCTGTGGGACAAAAGATAGGCAGTCTCCTCCTGTGCAATTTAAAGGCCCTGAAAACCCACTGGAGGGCCAGCTATGAAACCGTTTCAGCTTGACGGCACACAGCAACAGCCTAGAGAGAAACAAGAGTGGAATAAGATATATCTTTACCACCTAGGGCAACTCTGATGGTGTAGGGAGTTGTACTGTTAACCAGAAGGAGGACTTCTGTAAAAGTTCAAATTTACCAGCAGCTCCAATGGAGAAAGAGGGACAGTCTCCTCCCTTGAGATTTAAGCCTCAGAAACCCAATAAAGGGCAATCTAGTTTGTACTTAAAGACAATGAGATTTGACTTTTATTTCCCTAACTCAGATAATTTTGGATAGTCTTCTTAGGTGTTAATTTCATCATCAGTAAAATTATGGAGAAAATAATAGTACCTTCCCACAGGATGTTAGCATAGGATGAAAAATTATCTTCATTCTTTATCATTTCTGTGGTAGTTACAATTGTTTTTTACTAAAAACAGAATATGTTGTTGTTGTTGATTGCCTTTGAGTCGAGCAGAACTCATAGTGATCCTATAGGAACAAAAGGCCTGAAGCCCCTCTGCGACTATTGACATTTATCAAAGTTCATAGTTCCCAGAGGCATGTTATTTAGGAAACGGATGCCACTCCTGCTTATATAGGGAACTCTGATAAAGAGTTGTGTTGCCCACTCAAAGGCAGGCAGTTTGAATTCACCAGTGGCTCTGTGGGAGAAAGATGGACAGTGTCCTTCTGTATAATGTCCAGCCTCTGAAAACTCACTGGAGGGTCAGCATTGAGTTGGTTCTGACTTGACAGCACATAGTGACAACAGCAGTGATATATAGGATTTCTTGATTGAAAGACGTTATGAGACTTTATGGTTGTAAAACTAAGTAAACAACTAAGCCATGTGCTTTGCTACCTTAGAGTCAAACAAGAGAAGGACACATTTTGTGGGCTGAGCATCTAAGAAGAGAGGAAGTTAGGGGAATTCTCTGCGTGAAAAGGAACTCGCCTTGGTGCAGGGATGGGCGCCTGGCTTACCAGACTTGGGCAGGCATTTTGTTTCACCCAGAGAGTCTTCTTGAAGGCACTGTAACATGTCAAAATGACATGGACCTAAGTCATCACTCAGCCCGAGGCAATGCACGTTAACTTACGCAGAAGAAACAAAGCAGTTTAATTTCTTTTGTTCAGTGGCGTGGTGAGTTCCAGGTAACACGTGCCTCTGCATTCATTACACATTACTCATTATTAGTCTCTTGTCTCTGTGATGCATGGTCTCCGTGGGCTCAGAGCTCATTGGTGCGTAGAGATACTGTGCAGTGTCAATTTGAATATAGTCTTTGATCTCAGGGACACCAAGGTTTGTCACTGCACCTTTAATGTGTAACTAAATTGGAAAACACCTGTTCTGACTGTAAATTGGGGAAGATGACGCACTTCATGGCATTGTGATGAGGAAAGAAGACTGAACAGTGGCTCGCATGTACGAGTGACCCAAAAAAGGCTGTGTCCCTTTTCCCCTTTCCTCTAAAGTCATCCTTAGGACACACAGCATCACCTCTACTTCCTCCATGGAGTTCCTACGAAACTTGGAAAATGTCCCCAAGCCTGTTTATCACACCTCTCTCCGTGGCTGGCACCAGGCACTTGTGCAAATAAAACCCCCAGGGATTCTTCGAATTCTCAGCCCAGCTATATGCAGATAGCCCTATTGGTGATCCTGGATTTCTGAAAGAATTCAATACTTTCAAACACTACTTGGTACAGAGAGTGCACCTTTGCACAAATATTAAGAGGAGGAATTTTCTTACTTCCTCACATTGTTGTGCATATCACATATAAATGTGATAAATCTATTCATATATAGATATTTTTATGGTAAGATATGCAGTGCTTTGAAAATTCTAGAACGTAGTTTGTGTTACATTCAAATAATGGAATTTTTTTGAAACTGAGAGCTTTTCCCCTGAACTCTTGAGATCTTTCTTTGACTCTCTGTGGTTGTTGTTGTGTGCTGCCAGGTTGATTCCAACTCATAGTTATCACATAGGGTGAAATCCACCTGCCACATAGGGAAGGGTGCGGTCTTTAGCAGAATGAATCGTAGGTCTCCCCTTGCGTACTCATGGGTTTGAACAGACACCCTTTTAGTTAGCAGCCAGGTGCCCACCTGTTTTGCCATCCAGGCTTCTTATAAGGCACCTGAAATGTAACGAGTCCAAAACAAAACTCTCCGCTTCTTGCCCTCTCCCTGCCCTACATTATCGTTCCTCTCTCTGCCTCAAGTTTGCTTTTCCAAGGAAAACCACCAGCACCTGCAGCATCAACACAAGGAAGAGTGCTCGTTCTCTATCCCTCACACCCCATATATTATCTGTCAACAAATTCTGTTGGCTCGACCTTCATACTGTGGCCTAAATCCCATCACTGCTTCAGTCTTCTATGCTGTTGTTCTGATAATGGGGTCTTGTACTCCTTTAAAAGTGGAAACTGTTTAAAATTAGTGACCTTCTGTCACCTTCATTCCTCTTCACTGGTGCTGCCTGCTCCAAGCCTCCTTCCCTTTCCAGGACTGTGGAGGTACTCTCTCAACTTGTCCCCGAGTTTCCTTGTTGACCCCTTGAGTCTGTTTATGACACAGCTGCTCAGATCATCATTTGCATATAGAAATCAGATCATGTCACCTTGCTGTGTCAAAAAGTCTCTTGTCTCTTGATGATCCTGAGAATGAAAGGCGAACTCCCAGCCGAGCTGTGGGAGGCAGCTGGGGCTGTCTTGCTCTGACTTCATGTCCTACCACACGCCTCTGTCAGAACCTGCTCTGTTTCTGTCCTCAGCTTCGCTCACCTTTCTCTTTCCCTCACACTCCAAGCTCATTTCTGCCCCTGATCTTCCACGACTGCTGTTGGGACACCTCTCTTCCATCTCTCTCCAGCCCCCTCAGCAAACTGTCCATTCAAATATCTCCTTTTCATGGGTGCCTCCCTGCTTCCCTTTGGTAAAAACACTGCTCCCCCATCAGCTCCTGTTCCCATCCTCTGCTTCATCTTCTTACATTGACTTGACCACAGTCTGAAGTGGTGTTATTTATTATCTTTTTAAGGCTAGCACCTGTCTCCCCCACTTGCCTGTGTTTCCTATGGCAGGGACTCCATTTGTCTCAGTCTCCAGAGTGTCCCACTATCAGCAACTGTGCCCAACACTCAGGAAGGGCTCCAAGGTGAACTCTTCTCTCCCATGAAGAAGCTTATCACCACTTTTGTCATAGTCCTTGTGTGTTGTCTTTGACAGGGTGAAATCTGCCTCTGTACCAGTAGAATCTTTGTCCAGAGGAGCATCTACAGTGGCTTTTTGAAGAAGTTTGTGGAAGCTACTAGAAACTGGAAAGTCGGCATTCCCTCTGATCCGTCAGCAAGCATGGGGGCATTGATAAGTAAAGCCCACCTGCAGAAAGTAAGTAGTCCAGCTGTGTAAGTTACAGGAAGAGTTCTCCCATGGATCAAGGCTGACTGCAAGGCACGGTAGACATCACCACTGTCGTTATGTGCCGTGAGGTCAGCTCAACCCTGTGCACAACAGATGGAGACCTTGCCCAATCCGGTACATCCTCACAATTTTTGCTGGGCCCAAGTCCATCGTTGACATCACTGTGTCAGCCCATGTCATTGGGCATCTTTCTCTCCTTTGCTGACTCTCTGCCTTCCAAGCACGATGCCCTTCCCCAAGGACTGACCTATTGTGTTAACATACCCAGAGTGTGTGAGATGAGGTCTCACCATTCTTGCATCTAAGGAGCACTCTGACTGCACTTTCTGAGACAAGTTTATTCACTCAGGGCATATTTTATACTCTTCACCACCTACCTTTGAATCATCTTCCTTTTAGCTTACCAGCCAAGCATGTAACACACTTTGCCACCATGGCTACTTGTTAAATGCTGTTCAGAAAAACGAAAAGTGGATTGCCGTCAGGTCAGCACTGACTCAGCTGACCCTCCAGTGGGTTTCTGAGACCATGATTGCATGGGAGCACATGCTTCGCTTTTTTCTTCAGAACTACAGGTGGATTCATGCTGCCAGGGAGGTGTGGCCTTTAAATCAGCAGCACGATTTCCCTGGATTAGGCCATCAGAGCTCCCCATGTTGGTAGGCTGTTCCAAGAGGGGTGAGAGAGTATAGATGAAGAGGGAAAAACTCATTGCAATCTCCACACATACCTGAGAATGGGGCAAATTCTGGTGCATCTTAGTTAGAGATCTTTAGGGACATTGTTGTTGCTGTTTTTATGTGCTGGCAAATCAGAACTGACCCTCTAGAGGGTTTTCAGAGACTCTTAGTTGCATTCAGAGGCTACAAATCACATGCAAGGTGATGGCCCATAAATATTCCCTCAGAGTAGCTGGTAGATTCAAACCACCTCCCTTTGAGGTGGCGGGGCAGCCCCTTATCCACTAAGCCACCAGAGCTCCCCTTATGGAAGCTGGGGGTGCAGGGGAGAAAAGATAATGTGGAAGAAAGACCCAAATCTGTACAAAGTGTTTTGCTTTTTAAAGTCTTTGATTTTATAGCTTATTAGTTGTTCTAATGGAAGGAATATGATAGAATACACCTGGTGACAGAAATGAAGCTGGGGATAGAATGATGGGATTTTGTACAATCAATGGTTTATTCATTGTAAATATGTTTTATAAGAAACATAAATGCAGGCTATACACATGGATCTCACCTGATGGTATGATTAGGAATCAAATAGATTACATCTGCGTAAAGAATCGCTGGAAAAGCTCAGTATCAGCTGTGAAAACTAGGCTAGGTGCTGATTGTGGAGCAGACCACCAACTACTCATATGCAAGTTCAAGCTGAAGCTGAGGAAAAGAAAATCAAATCCATGGGAACAAAATATGACCTTGAGTCTATCCCACCTGGATTTCAAAACCATCTCAGGAACAGGTTTGAGGCCTGAACACTAATGAGTGAAGAACAGACAGATGAGTTGTGGGAGGATATCAGTGGTATCATCCAGGAAGAGTGCAAATGGTCATTACAAAGACAGAGGAGGAAGAAAAGACTAAAATAGATGTCAGAGGAAACGATGAGTATTGCACTAGAGCACCGAGAAGCCAAAGCAAAGGGAAGGGAAGAAATCAAGATATTAAAGAGTTGAACAGAAGATTTCAAAGGGCAGTGCGGGAAGACAAAGTAAACTATTATAATGTGTGCAATGAGCTGGAGTCAGAAAATCAAAGGGGCTGAACTTGCTTGGTATTTCTTAAGCTGAAGGAACAGAAGAACAAATTCAAGCCTTGAGGTGCAATACTTAAGGATGCTTTGGGAAGAATATGAAATGATCCAGAAAGTATTAAAAGAAGATGGAAAGAGTATACACAGTCATTGTACCAAAAGGAATTGGTGGACACAGAAGAATTTCATGAAATAACATATGATTAAGAGCCTGTGGTGATGAAGGAGGAAGTTCAAGCTGCTCTGAAAGAATTGGCAAAAAGTAAATTCCCAAGAATTTATAGTATACCAACTAATATATTTCAACAAACAGACGTTGCCCTGGAGGTGCTTACCAAGTTGTGCCAAGAAATCTGGAGGGCAACCTCCTGGCCAACTGACTGGAAGAGATTGATATTTGTTCCCATTCCAAAGAAAGGTGACCTGACAGACTGTAGAAATTATCAAACAATATCATTAATATCACATACAAGCAAGATTCTGCTGAAGATTATAAAAAAAATGACTAAAACAGCACATCAACAGAGAACCGTCAGAAGTGCAGGCTGGGTTTATAAGAGGTCTTCGTACTAGGGATATTGTAGCTAATGTTAGATGGCTGAAAGCAGGGAAATACCAGAGGAATGTCTATCTGTGTTTCATTGAATATGCAGAGGCATTTGACTGTGTGGACTACAACAAACTGTGGCTAACTCTGAGAAGAATGACAATCCCAGAACACTTGATCACGCTAATGCGAAACCTACACTTGGACCAGGAGGCAGTTGTCAGAACAGAGCAAGGGAACACTGCAGGGTTCAAAATTGGGAAGGATATATGCCACAGATGTGTCCTATCTCCATAAACTTTCAATCTATATGCAGAACAGATTATCTGGGAGGGTGGGCTCTAGGAGGAAAAATGTGGCATCAGGATTGGAGGAAGATTCATCAACAATCTGCATTATGCAGATGACACAACCCTGCTTGCTGAAACTGAGGAAGACCTGAAGCGCTTGCTGCAGAAGCTCAAGGCCTGCAACCTTCAATATGGATTGAAGCTCAATATCAAGAAAACAAGGTTTCTCACCATTGGGCTGATTGGCAGGATGGATGGTGAAGAGATTGAGATTGTTGACAGCTTCAGTTTGATTGGCTCCACAATCAACATTCTTGGCACCAGAAGCAAGGAAATTAAGAGATGTATTGCATTGGTAAAGTCTGCTGTCAGGGACCTCTCCATAGTACTGAAAGGCAACAATGTCATTCTGGAGACTAAGGTGTGCCTGATACAGGCCATGGTTTTGCAATTATTTGCTATGCATTAGAAATCTGGACAATGACTAGGGATGATATAAGGAGAATTGATGCTTTTGAGCTCTGGTATTGGAGAAGAGTATTGAATATACCATTAACTGCTAAGAGAATGAACAGGTTTGTCCTGGAGAGGGTTAATAGGTTGCTTCTTGGAAACAAGGATTCTGAAACTTTGTCTGACATACTTTGGACATGTTGCAAGGTTGGACCAGTCCTTGGAGAGGGACATCATGCTTGGGAGGGTGGAGGGACAGTGCAGGAGAGGAAGACCCTCTATGAGATGGATTGGCTCAGCGACTGGGGTAATGGGGGTAGGTGTGTCAGAGACAATGAGATTGTCACAGGATAGAGCTGGCATTAGGGCTGTTGCACATAAGGTCGCTATGAGTCACAGGCAACTTGACATACATACCAACAACAACATTACTTTTTTTTATATGAGAAATAGACATCACTGCAATGAATGCAGAACTACAGTGATTATTTGATTATTCGATATTGGAGCATAATGCTCTATAGAGAAATAATACATTGGAATCTAAAACAACACTTCAAAATTTACTACTAGATTCTTTTTCTTTTTGTATTTTTAATGTTAGTGCTAATTTTCAGCTTGTCTAATATGGATAACACCTCTCACAAGTCAAATTATCTATCACTGTGACTTTAATAACATTTTTGTATTATCATATATCATTATTATGATCTGTCATTTCTACAGTCATTATTAATAAACCCCTGTCTTAATTGCTGAGCCATTAGGATAATTTATTATATAATTTATTTCCCATTAATTATAGCTAACTATATTACATATATATATTTTCTGGACATGATCAGAAATGAGATAATAAATTAGAAATTATTTGTTCTGTAACCTCAGCTGATGAGTGTCTTGGCTTTTTGAAAATTGTGATTTTAATGGAAGTTTACAGAAAAGTTGGATTTTTCATTTATTCATTGTTGTACATTTTCCTCCCTCTCACTCCACCAAGTTCACTTAAAAAAATTCATTCACCATTGCACAATTTTCTCCCTCCCCCATCACCTCTCCTCTAGTCCTCTTTGCAATGCTGAGTGAAATATCTCAGTCACCAAAGGACAAATACTGCATAGATCCTGGCTTTTAACAAACTCTTACACATTAATGAAGGAAATACCCTTTTGAACTTTATTTCCAGGTTATACCTCAGTGTGCATTACAGCTTTCCTCATTAGTACCCATGTGCAGCAGAGTACTCATGAACCCCTGGGCTGAATTGAAATTCAATTGTGGTGTGCCTTCGAGTCAATTCTGATTCACAAAGATCCCCAGTACTACCCATAAGGTTTCCAAGGGTGTAATCTTTCTAGCGGTGGGTTGCCATGTTTTCTCTCCATGGAGTGGCTCCTAAATTCAAACTGCTGACCAAACACAGAAGCAAACTCATTGCCATTAAGATGTTTTTGGCTTGCAGAGACCTATAGGATAGAGTAGAACAGCTCTGTAAGATTTTGAAGGCTGTAAAGCTTTACAGAGCAGTCTTCTACATCTTCCTCCCAGGGAGTGACTGGTGGGTTTGAACCACTGATCTTAGGTTAATAGCCAAATGCTGCATCACCTGGGTTCCTGCCAGAGGTTAGGACTTTAACATCTCTTTCTGGAGGACATAATTTAATCAATACAACACCTAATAGAATTTCAAAATAATTAAGTGGGTTAATATATTAAAAGCAGCTTGCACTTAGAAATGTGTTAAGGTGTATCTTTCCTTGTGATGGAGGGGTCCATGCACTAACATTCTCTTGGGCCCTTGCATTCAGTCACCAAGTCATAAGATAGCTAACCCCAGATTTCTTAGTAACAATCCTTCTATCTATCTATCTATCTATCTATCATCTATCTATCTATCTATCTATCTATCTATCTATCTATCATCTATCTTCTTCATCATCATCATTATTATTATTTATTATTATTATTATTATTATTATCATCTATCATCTATCTCTCTGATCTATCTATTGATCTAAGAAGTCTTGGAAAAGGGGGATGTTTTGCTCATGTGTTTGAAGACTCTTAAAAAACTCATTGCCTCATGCAGTCATAACTGACTCGTAGGTGATCCTTTATCTAGCTGTTTTTTGGAGGCTGTAAATCCCACAGGAGGGGAGAGAGCATCTCCTCTGGAGCATCTGGTGGATTTGAACTTCCAGAGAGACACAGCCTTTGGGTTAGCAGCTCAACTACCTAGGGACCCCATCATCAGAGACTCACATTGTTTTTGTATATTGTCAAATTGGAACTAACACACAGCTGACCCTCCAGCAGGTTTTTGAAGACAATAAATCACATGGGAGGAGACTGCTCGTACTTCTTCAGTGGGGCAAATGATGGATCAGAACTCTGTACCTTCGCACTGGCAGCACAATTACTTACCACTAAACCTCCAGAGCTTCTTGGTGTTAAAGACATTGCTAATTATGATTTTTATCTTCCCAGGTCAGAAGTTACGTCGAGAAAGCTCGTGCTGAAGGGGCTCGAATTCTGTGTGGCGAGGGGGTAGAGAAGTTGAGCCTGCCCCCCCAAAACCAGGCTGGCTACTTCATGCTTCCCACCGTAATAACAGACATTAGGGATGAATCCTCCTGCATGAAGGAAGAGATATTTGGCCCGCTGACCTGTATTGTCCCCTTCGATAGCGAAGAAGAAGTGATTAAAAGAGCCAACAGTGTTAAATATGGCCTGGCAGCTACTGTGTGGTCCAGGGATGTGGGGCGCATCCACCGCGTGGCCAAGAAGCTTCAGGCAGGCTTGGTCTGGACCAACTGCTGGCTCATCCGGGAGCTGAACCTCCCCTTTGGAGGGATGAAGAGTTCTGGGATAGGGAGAGAAGGAGCGAAGGACTCCTACGATTTTTTCACTGAAATCAAAACCATCACTGTCAAACACTGATTCTCGCCCAGAGGAGAACTGATACCATCCTCCATATTATAGCTTGTTAATGTCCAGCTAAAAACAACTGGTCCTTCAATGGTGGCTCATGGCAACATGGAAATACTGACATAAATCCTGGCCATGTCTTCACAGAAGTTTCTAGATGATTCTTGGCTAGATGATACCCACCAGTGAAGAGATGCTGCTTGCTTTTAGTGGAGAGTCAGTGAAGAAAAGACTTCTCAATAGGAAGCCCAAGATTCTACATCTCTCATCACTCTGTCCTCATAGCCTGTTTTTGTTGGTTTTTTTTAAATTCTCACCCCTACCTATCCTCACCCCCTGCCCCTCCATCCCTTGAGTGTCTATACATGTTTTACTGGTTATCCTTCTATTTTTATAATAATGGTCTTATGAGAATGAATTAGTTCACTCAGCATAATGTTCTCCAGCCTCACAATTTGGTGGGTAGAGGGAGGAGGGGAAGCAAATGGGGAGGATCCAGGTGAAAAGACAAGGTCATGATGGGCAAGGTCCAATGGGGATTCATTTAGAAAACATGATGAATGGAATGTAGGAACACAGTGTGAATGGAGAATAGTGTAAGCAAATCAATTAAAAAAATGTAAAAACTGGCTATAATTTTTTTTTTTTTTTTACATTTCCTATGGTAAAAAAAAAATGAGAGAGAAATTACTGCAGATTCCTACCTGGGATATTTTCCACAGGGTCTCTCTGTCCATTAGCTGCTAACATTATTAACTGATCATTGACTGTTGTTACACTCATGGGTGGTAAATGTTTATGATAAGCATAATATTTGATTTTCAAGTAAAGGATATGTGCTATAGGCCCAGCTCCATTTATCTGTTCAAAGACAAAAAACTGTTACTTTTTGTGGAAACTTGCAACAAGAAGATAAAAGTATTTCTTCTATTTCCACTGCCAAGTCCAATCAATTCCAACTCTTGGTTTATGTAGCTTTTGAGTCATAAACTTACTAATCCTAAAGGAAAAATTAATAAATATTAAACAGTTTTAATAATTAGTATGGCATATGCTTTCTTAAATTGTCCTTTATTCTTCCTTGAATCCATTTAAGAGGATGGTTTTTATACTTAGTAATTAAAGTACCTCTAGTACTTTTCCCCCTGGTCATTAGACGATAAAGGCAGAAAGTAGGCGTTTATATTCAATATCTCACACTCATATGTAGTTGAGGTGGGATTTGAACTCATGACTCTGATCCTTCATGATCTACAACCAATCCTAGATTGTTCGCTGAAGGTACTGAAGTGCTTCCCTCACGCTTTGTCTCTCTCCTTCCTGATTCCCCTCAGTGCTGGGAAGGGGCTTCTCCACCGGAAGCTAGGAACACCTTTGTCCAGCCACGTACACGTGGACGGCAGCTGCCTTATTGTGTGTCTGACTCCCGGGCCAGATAGGAGTTGTTGAATGTCAAGGCAGCATGTTAATCTTCTCTGATATCTCAGTTCACAGCACAGTGCCTGGCCTACGGATGGTATTCAGATGATTTCTGGGAATGAACTGTGATCCTCCTGCCACGTTGGGGATATTTATTGCATGGGGTGTGTGGTGTGGGATGGAGTGGAAGGGCAGAGTAAGCTTTCTAAATTTGCTTAGAATGTCTGCTATGTTAGCTTGTTCGTAAATGCTGAAGAAGATAAGCCTGTTGGAGGTCCAGTGGTATGTCAGGTTTGTAGTTCCACTTTGCCTTCCCTCCCCACCTCTCCTGGTAGGACTAGGTGACTTTGATCACTTTCTCATCCAGGACCATTGCCTGCGTGAGGAATTTGAGCACTCCAGCCTGTAGAATCTGCATCTTTACTTTTGTGGTTTGTCTGCTCATTTCGTTCCTAACCCAAGTTGTGTCTTGATTCCAAATCCTGGCAACGGGATCTTCTTGCTCCCTATACTTGACTTATCCACCTTCTACACCCATACTTTCAGTCCCACACCTCCTTTTCTCCAGACATGAGTTAGCTTGCTGGGCAGGTCTTGTGTCACTCCTGGGTCCTGCCTTGTGGAAGGGTCTGCTTCCTGCTGACAGGCATTCTGGATGCCATCAATCTGCTTCTGGGACTTTTTGGAGTTCTCTGAAAGCTCCTCCTGGATTGCAAGGCCATCTTGTGAACGTGAATTTGACCAAATACTGTCTTCACCACCTGAACCCTGCCCCTTGTTCTCGGTTAAAACCATTGACTATCATGCCCTAGGGGAGCTCTAGTGCAGTCTGTCGGAAGTTGCCTTACTAACCTGAAGACCGTATCTTCCTCTCAGTTTGAATCTGCCAATCGCTCCAAGTCAGAAATACAGGCAATCTCCTGCTGTGCAATTTACAGCCCCAAAAACCTAATGAAGCGCCAAATCTGCATCAGTTCCGATGAGATGCCAGTGCAAGTTTGATAATGTCCTAGCACCTGCACGTGCATCTTTTCATACTGGAAAGGATTCCAGCTCATTCAAGGGAGTTGCTAGAGTTCCAGGACTTTCTTTTGGAAAGAATCACATACTGTCTTAATTCCCCACTGCATCTAAGGATCTGTTGTGGATTAAATTGTATGTCGCCCTCATATATATATGACCCCTGTACTTGTGTATATAATCCTGTTTGGAAACTGAGTTTTCTTAGCAAATAGTGGATTCCAGCTGCCTGCCTTTGTGTTGGCAGCACAGGCCCTTACCACTAGGTCAACAGAGCTCCCTGAAAGAATGTTAATTCTATTATAATAAGGAGGGTGGCGTTATACTATAACCCTTTGAGATATAACAAGAGCAGATTAGACACAGAGCTGGGTATCAGATGCCATGTGAAGATTGTCTACACACTAAGGAACTAAGGAACTCCTTGACCACTTGCAAAGAGGGAACCAAGCAGGCTGAGACTCTGATTTTGACCTCTGGCTTGCAGAACTGTGAGCAAATACAGCATTATTCTTTACAGCCATTCATTTACAGTATTTCTGTGACAGTGGAACTAGAAAATTAAGACACAATCTATACCTTCAAGTTCCCTTCTAGTAATGTGGATCTCCGTAGCCCCAGCAAGGCTGTAGTCAGTTGATGAAGAAACTCAAGGGGAGTATTACAAGAGCTAGGAGCTCTGGTGACCTAGTGGCAAGAAGCTGCACCGGAATACCAATGGCATGTGGTTCGAGGCCACCAGCTGCTCCATGGGAGAAGGATGGGCAATTTCCTCCCATGCATTTAACTTCCTCTGAAAACCCACTGGAGGGTCAGCTATGGGGTACCTTTACAGTACACAACAACAACATGTTTATTTTAAAGTTTTATGTTTAAGTTTGACAGCATAGAGAGAGCGAATATGTGATAATGGTTACCCATAATGGACAGTGTTTGGAGAAGCTTCCAGATTAAAACAAGCTTGGAAGCAGGAGTGACATCCACTTCCTAAATGGCTTGCCTCTGGAAACTCTGTGAACACAGAGAAATGTCCAAAGTTATACAAATGTTCAGGTCTTTTGTTCATAGGGTTGTTAGGAGTCATCTACGACTTGACGGAACTTTACAACAGTAACAACAATGTTTAAGTTAGAAAATGGGTACATAGATGTTTACTAAATTATCTCATACATTATTTCCCAAGATGGGAATGTTTATTTATCAAAAGCAGGAATTGGGTCATGTTGGAGGACAGCCTGGATCATTCACAGAAGGCCAAGTACTTGGCTGAACTCTAGGGAGGTTCCAAGCGTGGAGACACTGTGCACAGAAAACAGGAATTCCCAGGCAGGAGAAAGGACAACTGAGGGGCACTGGCACCCAGAATTTAATATGTATCAGAGGCGCCAGGGACTCTTGTTAAAGGACATGCTCATACTCAATAGATTGTACTAGAACTTGAGATTGAGTTTAAGAGAACCAAGGAAATAGAAAACACTTGTGGAATCTCCAGGTATGGTACCTACTCTCCACTTCCGAGCTCTTGGGAGCAGCTGGTACAGCATTTGTTCCCTAATACAGACCACAGATAGGAGTGCTATTGGTGCGGTATGGAATGTGTCATTAGGAGAAAGATAAGGTATTCACTTCTTGTGAAAATTTAGAGCCTGAAGCAGGGTCACCATAGCTGGAACGGATTTGATGACACTGGATTTTTGAGTTCAGGGACACAGGGCAATCCTTGAGTGATTCATGTAGTTTATCTGGTCACCTGCTCACTGAAAGATTGGAGGTTCAAGTCCAGCCAAAAGTGCCCACAAAGCCCATTTATCTACTGGAAAAAAAAATCAGCCACTGAAATCCCGTGGAGCATAATTTTATTCTGCTGTACATGGGGTTACTCTGGGTGGGAATCCACTCCATGGTAACCGAGTTTGCTCAGAAAGAGAATGGAACATTTCCCCAGGGAAGGCTTCTCCTGTGGATGTTGGCATGGAGCCCGAGACAGTTTAGTACCTTTACAGGCAATGTGGAGGAGGAGGACGGAAAGGGCAGCTCCACCAGGGAGTGGACTGCACAAAGACCTGCACCACCCAAGGTAAAGACCTCCGTACCCTGGTGTTTATACAGGCACAAGCTGAGCCGTCCACAAGCCCGAAAGAGAAGCTTGTCCCTGGCACGGCAACTCACTGAGGATATTATTGAGCTCAGGCAACCTCCAGCACTCATTCAGCACTGAGTCTTCAGAGTAAACATTTCTTTCAAGTGGCAAAGAATAATCTTTCCAAGGAGTTGACAAAGAAAAGGAAGGCAACAGGAATGATGGAATAGCAATTTCAACAAACAGACACTGCCTTGGATGTGCTCACCAACTTGTGCTAAGAAATCTGGTGGACAACCACCTGGCCAACTCACTGGAAGAGATCTGTATTTGTTCTCATCCCAAAAAAGAATGATTTGACAGAGTGTGGAAATTATAAAATAATATAATTTATACCACATGCAAGCAAGATCATGCTGAAGATTATGCAAAAAATTACTAGAACACATGGACAAAAACCTACCAGATATATAGGCCAAGTTTAGAAGAAGCC